TGATTGATTAAAGCTTTAATACAGTACGGCAACTGCACACGTCCATGTTTAACGCTTCTCATAGCTATGTGAAAATAAGTGTATAATTGGAACAGTTCATTGTTGGAGCTGAGCTGAATGAGAGAGAGAGAGAGAGAGAGAGAGAGAGAGAGAGTGAGATGCACAGAGAGTGCTAGATGCTACAGCCACTGTGCAGGTTTCTCTTTGTGAGGTTTGGATAGCAGTGTCTGAAACACAGCTTTACACACAACTGCCTCTGCACATGGAGAGGATCTTGAGACTCCAGTAGCTTCAAACACCTGTTTGGGATCTGCAAGGAGGAATGGCAGAGGATCCCCAATTCCAGGTGTGAAAAACTTGTTGCATCAAAAAGACTCATGGCTGTATTAGATCAAAAGGGTGCTTCTACTAAATACTGAGCATTTTTCAGTTTTTCTTTTTTAATAAATCTGCAAAGATGTCAACAATTCTGTGTTTTTCTGTCAATATGGGGTGCTGTGTGTACATTAATGAGGAAAAAAATGAACTTAAATGATTTTAGCAAATGGCTGCAATATAACAAAGAGTGAAAAATTTAAGGGGGTCTGAATACTTTCCGTACCCACTGTATATATATATATATTAGAGCTGTCTAAATTAATGCGTTAATGCATGTGCTGAATTTTTTCAGTTGAACGTATTAAAAATATTTTTAAGTGGAGCTAGTGTTGGCCACCCCACTCACAACTCTCGTCTTTTCACAAAGAATTGCGTTTATATAGACAAAACGTTTTTACGACCACATTAAACGGGATACTTTTCAGACTCACACTCCAACTTCACCTCAGCACCAGGCGCGAGTCAAACGAGCACGGAAAAGGTACAGGTGACGAGGAGCTTCAGTAGAACAACTGCGGCCAGATGAGATGTTGTCAGGCCATTTGTTAGTAAAAACGAATTCTCCTGTCCTGTCCACCGTTATACTGTGCTATTAGCACGCACTCTTCGATTGCACGCACAAATGTGGCGGCACGGGCTGTATACAATTTCATATTAAAGCGCAAATGAAACTATGAGCATGCAATGTCGTAGTTATATCGTCAGTTAAGTCATGCATTAAAACTGCATGTAAGTATTTGTTATATATGAGTCACATTTAAGAACATGTCTCCCTCATCTAACACACCCGATTCAACTCGTCAGCTCATTAGTAGAGACTTTAAGACCTGAAGTGGGTCAGAAAAGGTAAAGAGTTATGAGAAAATAGGATACGTGTCAGATCCGTGTCATGTTCAGCAGCAGCAGCGCTTAAAGCAGACAAAATAACCTAATAATCAGCTGCTGTGATGTCTGTTCATCAAAGAACAAAAGAAAAAGAGGAAATCAATAACTTTTGTAGCTTTAAGGATTCATCTATATTAAATTTAGAATTTAGTGTTTGCTAACTTTATTCCATTTCTGTATATTTCCTACTTGCTGAAGGACACGTAGCTAAATATGACATTATAATGGGTTTATGTGAAGATTGTTTTAATTTAACTTAAATTAGAAGTTATTTTTTAAAGTCTAAAATTTATGAGTGATACACTCGTCTTCAGTCATAAAAAAGATGCTATTAAACAAATATTAAAAATAAACTGTCTTTATGTTGTTTCTACATTAATTTGAAGATTGAATGTAAAATTATTGTGATATAACAGTATATTTAAAAACTTTAATGTTAGGTGGGTTTAATCGCGATTAACTTCAGAAAAAAGTGTGATTAATTAGTTAAATTTTTTTAATCGATTGACAGCACTTAGCAATAGATCATATACAAAAACAAAACAAAAACATCAGGCATATTTACAACAAGAATCATTAGATGACATTAAAAGACTATTTAAGGATCACAGTGCAGCACCAAAGTACTAATTAATTGTAATTTTAAATCTTTAATCTTTGTCTACATAATCTTTGTATACATTTTACTCATATGTCAGCAAGACGTTTTGAATATTTTAAAATATAATAACATTTAATATGCTCACTTTTTCATTAATTTAATTAATATTAATATTTTGATAAGTGAAGATCAGAACAAGTACGTCGTTTCATTTTTACCTAAATATTAGGGCTGGGTAAAAAAATATTGATATCTCCATATTAATCGATTCTCATTTTTACGGAACGATATCGATTCTTAAATCCCAAGAATCCATTAGTCTAGCCTGTTTTCAGTTAATGGACGGAACATTGAAGGGCACTTCCCATCCAAAATATCGCAATAACCATTGTGCTTTGGTACTTTTAATATGAAACAAAGTCTCAGATTTCAAATTCTGTCCATTGTATTGCAGTATTACAATAAATGCCGTTTTGGCGCTGTTTAATGTGGAGTGACAGATCGCTGTAGCGCGCCACAGTTCAACAGACGCGGCAGCGCGAGGCACACGTGAACTGATCATCTCC